ATGGTGCTTGACACTGGTGCTGACCTGTGGTTTCTAATAGAAACCTGACTCAGTCCCACAGACACTATTCCTCTCGTTGAAGCCTCACCTGATGGTCTTAGTTTGTACAGAAACTGCAGGCTCTGGCTGTGGTGGTGGCCTGAGAGCTATTTTTAACTCACTGTTAAAAATAGAACCCAAAATCATAAAAGATTTTACGTTTGAAGCAAATGCTAATTCACATGGTATCTGACCCGCCCATCTACATTGTTATAGTATACAGACCACTTGGACCTTACACTTTGTTCCTAACTAATTTTGTATCTGTCTGTGCATTAAATAAGTCCGTTTTCTAATCACCTTCGTGATTGAGCCACCCTCTATGACTATGGCAGAGAAGATTAGGACATGTCACCTAAATGATAGAAATTCCCTATGATTTATTAATGCCATGACCTCAATATAGTGGATAGTCAGATTTTAAATTGTAGGTGCAGGACTTCAATCTGCCACCCTACACTGTTAGACCCCCGAAGTTTTTATTCTCGCTACATGGGAGTTTTTGGTTCCTCTATTCTATTGTCATCTAGCTGTCTTTCATTCTTTATTTCTTTGTCTTACCTTATCCCTGTTTTTCAATTATTCCGTTCAAATGGTGTAGTAATGTATTACAATACACCCATGTAAAGCTCCTTGGAGCGATGGTCATGAAAGGCACTATATTAAAATAAATGGAATTGAAATCATTGGTAAATTAAAGTGTATAATCGTGAATTTGTCTGGTAATTAGCTGGCATAGTCGCATTGTGATGTAATGTTTTTACAGTGGCGTACTTGTGGTTGCATAGTGATTACCCTGAATGTGTTTATTGTGTAAAGTGTCGTTTCTCCTTGTCTATGCTGCTGTTAGTTATCTCTGGCAGTGTGTGGTTAGTAAACACAGAACTTTTATTCCTTTTACAAGGAGCTGCCTAATCTCTAATAGAAACCATGAGCCACACAGATCCTGTTACAATACTCTGTGTGACAGTATATTTAACAGTTTAGTAGATTTGATGACAATTATCACGAGATCAGTTTTTTTTGTATCTTCTCTGCTTCTCTGAGATTTGTATTCTGTCCGTAACAATCCTTACCGATAACGCTTTGGATCACACCGTAATTCAGTCCTCCAAAGACAACATGGATGACATTAACTGCCTAGTGACACACTCTTCCTGTGGTGATATGCAGTTGTCTGATTATGGTGCGGCTTACTGAGGGAAAGTGGCAGAGAGTAAAAAAAAGCGAAGGAAGGTGAGGCAGCCTGGAAGTGGGGAGGGGAAGACAAATATCTCTGCTGCTAAAAATAGGAACAATTATTCTGCCCTTCTTGCGTCATTTCGCCGTTCTTTCCCTCTTTACACTTGACGCATTTTTCTCCTCTCCATTTGTTTTTGAGCATTTGCAGATTATTTAAAAGACTTCCACCCTTATTCTGCGGCCCATTCATCGTCGCCGATTAAACTCTGTTTACAGCTCATGGCCTTTCACCCTTTGTGCACTCCTCCATTGTCGGGGGTTATTCAAGTATTGTTTCATTGTTTCAAGTATCAGCTTCATTGCAAAAAAATACTCTGAAGCTTATTTTTATGGCAGGAGTTACTCGAGCAGGTCTTTGAGTAAAGTAAGGAGCCCAGTGGTGGGAGGCTTAAATACGGCTCGGAATATAGGATGGTTAGAGTGAACATGGAACCGAGAAAGTGAAACAATGTGAAAACGGTAGATGAAGGAAAGATGGGTAGTGAAACAAAGAAGCAACACAAATAGTGAAAGGTGAGACAGACTGAAATATAAGAGATGAGTATGGAAAACAGAATTGAAAGTAAGAACTGGAGAAAGTCATAAATTTTAAATGAGCTTTGAATTAGTTTTCAGTATTAATTTATGAAAGGTTGCACTATTGACTGTGCATCGTGCCGCAATGCTTAACTAAGTAAAGTAGGTTACATTTTGAAAAAAGATTATCCTGTGATTATAGTGCACAGTAGGTTAAATGCTACGCGTTGTGTCTATAAAATTGTGATATTGAACAAAAAACATGCAAAAAAACTTGCCAGGGGGTAATATTTCTTAAATGCCACCAAAGGCAGCGGTAAAGTTTGCCTGGGTGCCAAGACACCACATGGGCTTGGAGCAGCGCTCAGACGACACGAGGTATCGAGGCACTCAAAAGCCTCGCTCACCTCATTAGCCACAGATGAGTGCCTCCTTCATTATTAACTGCAGCTGATTAATCTTTCATAACGAACAAACTGTTCCAAAGACGCTAATTGAGGTGAACGATATGGTCAGCGGGAAGGTGCGAAAAGCGATGCCCTTAGGCAGAGCCCTGCAGGAACAGTTAACTGTCCATAGCCACCCTGTGTATCAGGCCATTTCTGTAAAATGGGAAAACTGGGCCCTTTTAATGCAGAACATAAAGTCATGTTTAGTTTTACCCCTATTTATTTATTTATCCTTTGCATGTTCACCAGATGTCCGTCACGCCCGCTTACTCCAGATCCTCAGATAGACTGGCATCCCCCTCTAGGTCAGGTGCGGAATAACTTCTCTGGGGGCCCTAGAGTGATGTGGGTAGGGCGCCCCCTATGGGGCTGTATGGTGCTATGCCTTAGTCTCCTTAGTCTACCCTGAGTCTAAGGTTAGTCTTGAATTTTTGCTTATGTTAGTTTATTTTTGTTCTGTCCATGTCCGTTTACCACTCTAGCGGGAGAGTATGACACACACAGGAGATGTAACATTAGTCTTGTATCTTTCTGCCATCATCTTTTTCTCTGAGGCTACTCTGTGCCGGTTCATTTGGCAGTGAAACAACCACCAGCTGGGTAGCGGTAAGTATCAGGTAGGACTAGTTCATTACAGATGTGACAGGGGGCAACATTGTCTATCCTCAAAACTATTGGTAAAAATACAAATAACTAGAATTTAAACGACCAATTATCTTATATCCATAAATATAGCTTCTGAAAATTCTATCTTCAGGGGGCCCCTAGTTTTCAGGTTCCCATAAAATGGTTTTCATCCCTTTCTGTACTCAGATCCAAATGCACAATTGGGTTCAGCACTACTGAACCCAGTTTGAGTCCGTTATGATTTCACAGATCATTACCCTGTGTTTTACAATACAGTGAGAACAATAGGTCAAGCCAATGTGACCCTTTACCCGGATAGTTGATACGGGATGGATGCTGGGGGAGGGGAAGGCTTATGAGGGGGGGCGTGGAATGAAGAGCTAGGAAGATGGATCACCGCAGTCCACCCAGACCTTACATCTGGGCTGGATAATGTCATCTGCAGCCTTTTCGTGTTAGTTCTTCTGGGTTCATCACATCCAACCATTGAGCCAACAACTGTGGTCAATTTGGTAGTCGGGTAGAAAAACTGTCTGATGCATCTCATCAGCACCAGTAAAATGCAGTATTGACAAGGACGAAATCCTATACAATCTTGTCTGCGTCTTTTGGCTTTTACAAAGGCATTGATTCAGACTTGGATGTGAAAAGGCTGCACATGAAAGATATGTGACCCAGTGAAAAAATGAATCATGTTAGTAGGTATTTTTGGACCTGGAGGTTTTGGTTGCAGATGTACAGGAAGGTCAGAGCAAATGGTATCACGGTGTCTTAGGCTTGGGGTCCGATGACGGGAATTGTACCCAGCTGTCAAGGCAAGAGAGTTAAGCAAAAACTGAGAAACTGTGAAGGCGGCAACTAGGAGATGTGGGACATCTGAAACAAAGCTAGAATGGTTTATGTTTTGTTGTTGTTGTTGTTGTTTTGTTATGTCCTTTGACGGGTCCTGATTCATTGCCTGGGGGGAGGTCAGGAAATGCCCAGCCTAAAGTCTAGTGCAAATCGCTACTAAAGTTTGAAATTGCTATATATTTTTTTGTCCTGGATGCTTGAATCTTTAACGCCTTCATGAAAAGTAATTTATCTTTACAACGGCCTGCGGGAGGAACCCCTTCCAAGCGGCTGCAAGGCGCCGAACGCAGGCCTTGCTTGCATCACATGCTGGTTCTTTCAGGGACTATCAAACTGGTTTTCACGACAGGACTTGCCTCCCCATGGTACCTTCACTACGGGCCACGCTTGTCTGCTGGCACGCTTTACTATTAACGGAACGTTTAATGGAACTTCATTAGAACACATAGCATTAAGGTTCGCCTGACAACAATGCACCTGGCCTTTTATGTGCGCATGTGCTTTTTATTCTACATTTACTGACATGTGTGATTGGTTGCTGTGCTACTCCATGTGCTTTTTTTAACTGCCTTGGGGGTAAATAAAGTGATTTGATTTGAATTGAATACTTCTTTGAAGATAAAGCCGCCATGTAAACTCTAGGCCTAATTACAGTTTATTCATTTGACCTTTAGACCTTCATTATGCTAATAAAGTTGTGTATATACAGTAAAAAAAAAGAAAAAAAAGAAAAACCGTGGTAATTTATACTTGCACATATAGCCAGTATTTTAAGTGTTTGCTTAAAGCCTTTGTAAGTACAGCTCTGTTAGCCTACCAGTGGAAGGGCAGTCATTCCAGTGTTCATGTTGAAGTTATGCATGTTAAACTAGCATATCATCCAGGGTGTCCCCATTGGGCTCTGTGCTGGATGGATGATATACTTCAACCCCCATGCCATCCCTGATGATACATGCAAAGATAGGCAATATTGTGTTTTTATACACAAAACGTGTTGTTTTTCTAAGAGTCAATAATATCAGTTTTCAAACATATATAATTATGAGACAACAATAACCCTGAGAGGATTAGATCTAATTAACTTGACCTCTATACACTTCTCCAAGCTTTAGGCCAAAGTTCAGCCGTTGTTCTTTAAGTTTAATAATAATTTGAAACGGAAGGACAAACGTTGTGGAAACAAGATGCTTCCATGCCATACCAGGCTTCATTTTCAACCAAGTTTCCCGTTTCATGCAGATGGCCACACACGGAAAGGTGGCTTTAAATCTCAGGAGGCTCTCTCAATTAGTTCAGAAATAGAGCCTGCGTCTAGCTGACTAATTTCCTTTTTAATTTGTGCTTTTAAACGGGCCATTAAAATCTGCAGTCACATGGGACTGAATGGAGAAGTGCGCCGAACAAGGACAACTCCCCGCACACATAGAAAGCGGCTCCAAAGGTAGGCAGGCCTACCGAAATTCACCGGCGACTCCTACAGTGACGGTACTTATTTGCCATCTATGCCTCCCACCTGCACTGGGCTGGAATAGAGGCGCCCTCCGGAACGAGGCGGCTGGATGGATGCCACCTCTGGAGGTGAGGTTTCAAACTTTGCAGCCGCTTTTTTTCCGTCTTATGGAGTTAAAGGGTAGATGCTACTAGTCGTAGTTCTATTACCATACTGCAAATAAAGTCACACCGGACGCTGGATCGCACGCCGGTGCGATGATCTGCACCTGCACACAAAGCCCACGTAAAAAAATCTACCTCCTTTGAGAGGTGAGAACAGTGTGTGGAGACGCGCAGTACGGCAGCGATGAGCTCCACGCTCCCCAAGAGCGACTCTACGACATCCCTGCTGAAACCAAGCGCAAGGGTGGCCCTCCGGCCGGAGCGCATTATCGCCGGTCGCCGCAGCGAACGCCGGGCGACATCGCACGCAGGCAGCGGCGCAACCGAGGACGAATGCTGGCCGGACGAGTGCGACGCAAGTGCCCGGCGACCACTGTGTCACCCCAAACTCCGAGATGGCGGGGCCAGACAAGAGAGCAAAGAGCCGTCCCAACAGCCGTACACCCAGCTGACCCCCGGGTACAGTCGGGAGAAGATGCAGGAAAGACTGGGTGTCGGACGGATCGGCAGGGAGAACGGTGTGCGGTCAAGGCATCCACACCACCATCACAATAACTCGCGGCCAGATCCGTCTCCGGTGCATCACTGCAGCGACCGCCGGTCAAGCGGGACACCCTCCCCGACACCGTCCCTGTCCAGCCGATTAGACGAAGCAGCCGCCTTCTTCGAGACCAAGGTGCGAACCAGGAGGGACTCGGGCACCGCGACCACGTACGACACTGACGCCTCGTCCTCTCCCGTCTCCGCTTCGGCGCGTCGCTCCTGCAGCAAACCGGGGAAATCGAGCGCGGCATCACCTCTCTCAGAGTCCCAACTGCACCCCATCGTCAACTCGGTGTATGGGCAAGTAAGTTTCACGCTGGGAAGGCTGATGCATTATTAATATTTAATTACATTTATAGCAGTTTTGCAAAGGCAGGATTTGAGATCAAAGAAATCCAGTTGGGGCAGCGTAATTGGTTCACAGTTTTATGTTCTGTTTACCGTGAGCTTAATGTAAGCTGCTTAGTCGGACACTAGATGGGCTGTGCTTTAGACATACCATGGATCTTAGCGAGCGAGCGCCCACCTCTATTTAGGCTACAGCATGAATTACCCGTCTGTGACCAAATTCAAGTTATTTTGCGCAGGCTGTGTGGGTGGCACAATGTTCAGCGTTATAGACAATACTAACACGTCCTCAATATAATACGGAATGATACAGTACAAGACTAGGTATCAGACCGGAGGAATACAGAAGGCTATAGAGTTAAACTTTCTATGTCAGTGCTTACACGCTGAACTTTATCTGAGACTAAGTGTCAATAACACGTGTAGGACATAGGCCTGCTTTACAGACAGCTTGGGCTCTTGAAGAATTTTTGTTTATGGGTTCGGTTTTCTGAGAAAGCTCTAACAGCAAGCTATTCAAGTTAACAAATTATGCTAAAAGAAACACAGCTTACTCAGTCCCAGAAATGGTTAATGCAACACGTGGATACATAGTAATATTTCCCAATCAAAATAAATGCAGTTATTTACTTATGTGATATTTTATATTGTGTCTATATTTAAGCTATTGACAGGGCGACCATAAGTGATACCAGGTACTGAGGACCTGAAGTCCACACAAGGCTAATGCAAACTTCTGGCTATCGGATGCTAATTTTAAGAAGAATAACAGAATTGAGGTGCTGAAGGTCGTGAGTCGGATATCATCTGTGTTTTTGGGCGATCTACATTTAACGTGAACTGCCTATTAATTTTATTCTGGCAGTTGGTGGACTGAAACCACAGTACGTTTGGATTAGGTGCGTTGTCAGAAAAAATTACTGATTTGGCCTAAAGTTACTTGTCACTGGGGCTGTACCCTTAAGAGTCAGCCAGTTGTACCCTAGCTTTAGGTAAATGTACCTTTTAGTCTAATTTAAGGTCCATGAATGGACTGTGAGGGACATTTCTGTACCATTGGGGGTACATTAATGTTATTTATACCTTGGGGAGCAAAACAGTAACACAGTTGTACCCTTTTTTGCTGACAGTGTGGAAATAGCACAATAGGTTAATTGAAATGAAAACCTTCAGCTTTAAATTGATATTTATGTTTAATAATGCGTGTTTTCCTGATACCAATTTGCAAACAAATCTGGCACCACGTCTCTTAACACCCTTATTCTTATACCAGCCGCTGTGTTCGGCAAGTCTGGACATGTATTGCTAATAAATGAGCCTGGACAGCAACATTAAGCCAGTTTTGTTTAGTCGGACTCTTCTTACAGAACAAGTCAAACAATCCGATTTCAGCAGAAGACAGTGGAGAGTGAAGGCTTGATAGTTTCATGGGAACGGAGGAAAGGTAAAGCTTACGAATGAGTGGCATTTCATAGCCAAGACTGTTCAAAGATTGTGGAATGATATAAGAAATTATTGGAATAGTGAAGGCATTATATTAGAAAATAGTTGTCGTACATTTCTTTTCTATGAGTCACTTATAGGTAATATATATGCCGTATATAACCAAATATAAGTTAGTCCTATAAATAGCATCGTGACAGTATGTCTTCCAGTGTAGGTCTGACTCATTTTATTATTAACTTAGTCATGTGGAAGGCCCTCCATCTGTCAGTTGTCACTTTGCCAGCAGTTTGCAAAATATTTACAAGAATGTCATTTGCAAAAACATATTAATCTGTTCGCAATCCACTACATCCCCGCTGACGCTGGAAGTCAAACGCGAGCATCTTTTAATTAGTCTAAAAATTCCCCCGCGTCATTTATGTAAATGGAGCCTTGAGCCACTTTATTCTGTATTTATGGCCGCGTAGCTGAACGGGTCTAACATAACATGGCAAATGTTTGCATTACACAGGTGACGGTGAATATGGCCGCCAACGTTAGCGGACGTGATGTACCGAGATGTCAGTTCGTCATGGCTTCTTCTTGCACGCATCAGCCTTTGCTGAAAGAGCCGGCCGACATCAGAGCAGTAACTAATGCACCCCCATAAATAAACCCAAACAGTGCCAGATCCAGGGCGAGGCTGGCTGGGTCCTGGGTCAGACCGACACTGATAGCACACTTCGCCAGTCGGATCTAAGGTTCACTCAGTCGGAAAGCAGATCCCAACACCAATGCATCCCTCCGTTTACAAAATAAATAAACCACAGATACAAAAATGAGGATCCTTGTTAAAAATGTCCGGTTGGTTTAAAAAAAAAAAAAAAACAGGTCACACAAAAGAAATAAACAATGGAAATTCCTGCATTTAACCAGAACGAACAATAGTGCAGGAAAGTAGGCCTACAGGATTTACCATAAATGTATGGAGGATTTGATCTACTCAAGCTTGTTCATTGACTTGTACTCTAAATCGTTTAGCTGTTTGTTTTGCTGCAGTGACATAATTTAAGGTTCTCGAGTAGCCCGAATGGAGTGGCCTGCGGCTGCCTGGGTTAGGATCTCTGATCTGAAGGTCGCCAGTTCAAGGCCCGCGGCAGGCTGACTGATCCCACCATCGGGCCCTTAAGCAAGGAGCTTAACCCCAGTTCCACCAGGGACTGTCTGACCTAACCCTGCTTTCTCGATTGTACGTGGCTTTGGATAAAAGCGTGTGCTAAACAAATAAATGCCAGATAAATGTAAATATGTTTACCCCCACCGTTTGTTTAGAGGACATATGAGATGAATACCCACTGTGTGCAATTTTAACAGATTTTATCAACCATTTCTTCCAATATCACTATTGCTGTTATTACAATTTTAATAGAATTTGGGCCAGGGTGCTGATATTAATTCTGCTCTTGTTAACATCCTTGCCCTGATCTTCAAGAGCAAACAGCCAAACTGATCCAAGGTCAGTCGCTAAGTGCATGACTCCCCTACAGCACGTGCACATCTGTCACCTAGACTCCACATTAACAATAAGCTTAGCTGTAACGGTTTGTATTATTTGCTTTTAGCGGGTTTCCAGTGGTGAAAAAAGTTTTAAAAGTGCTTAAGTGAAAAGAAGACCTACTATAGATTTAAATGCATCGATCGAAAAACAAAAAAACAGCCTATCCTTATAAATTCATTCAAGTCAAGTTAAAATATAGCAATCTTACAGTGGAGCACAGTATTTTATTTTTATTCAGAAAAAAAATGGAATTTTGCGATTGTGCTGGCGCAGATTAGCAGAAAGGCTTTATTATTCTATGGAAAATGAAATATCGGTCTACGAGCCAGATTCTATAATGAATTGTAAACATTTTGCAGGCCAGTACTTTTAGACCTCTTGTAAGTGGTGAATTATCAACGAAACCCCTCGCCCTCCGCCATGGCTGCGCAGAAGAGTAGAAAGTCGTTATTTGGCTCAGAAATGTAGCGAAGTGAAAGTAAACGTAGAAACAATTAAAAATACTCAAGTACAAATCCAGAAGATCTCTGTACACGATAAGCATCTTTTCATTGTTGTTTTCACTTTTATTATAATCGCCTTATTACACTTACGTGTTGTAAGGCGTTAGATTACATGTAAAAAGAGTGACAAGAATTTGCAAATGGTGTGTAAGCATGTGCTTGTTGTATTCATTTCCAGTTTTTTCTCATATGAAGGAATGTGCATTGCTTTTTCATGAACAAAATTTTTGATTCTGCGGTACCGGTTGCTAAATCTAGACTACCCAAGGCCCGATTAGAGTAGAGATGAGCAAAGCCAAGTGTTCTGTTTTTATATTCTCATAAAAAATTATTCCAATCCCTTCCCACTTGTCAAAGTGCGCTGGCAAATGACAAAATTAAAAAAAAAATACGAAATACAAAATTGGCAGAATGAGCCACGGTGCTGACTTCCATGTATAGCCCGATAGCTTGACCGAGAATCGTTGGTGGGCCGGTGAAGGACCGAATGGGGTGGTGGGGGGGTTTGAAGAGGCTTTGGATGATGATGTTATTATAACAGATGGATAAGCAGTAGTGTTTATCCGCAAAATGTATGATATTAGACAGCTGGAGCTCAACTTATTAAGCCAGTGAGAATTAGAAGCAAGTCTCCGACGCCGCACTTTCTGATCGAGTGCGTCCCGTCTGCACACCAGCGCCGCTCCTGCGGCCGCCAACCCAGCATCTTTTGCGCAGCCTTAACTTCAACCGCATGAGAGAAACTCCGCTTGTGCAGCGGGGTGCTGACCCAAAATGGCCGGACCCTTAAGCTATTAGCTGAAACGTCCTGGACGAGCTGTCTCTCCCGCTCCGGTTTGGGACGTCATGTCACTTTCCAGCAGCAGCGCAGGCTAATCGGACTGCCAGTTGTTCAGGTAGCGTGAGCAGATCTGTTGTGGCTCCACCTAGTGGCAGAGGAAAGAATGATAATTGCGGTACTGCATGGTTTATGGCGAGTTACGTAACAGCCAATTTTTAAACTCCTGCAGCAACGACATTACAGTTAATATGGAGAATGACAATGGAATGAGAGGGGCTGCTGAATGGCCACTGTCTCGCTGTGTTTTTTTCCATTCTGTTTATCCTCTTTCGCTTTTCCCTCCTAGCTCAGCTTTCACATTACCTGCTGTGCAAACGTTTGTGCTCTGAGGCGGCAAGCACACAGTGGACATGTAGATTGTGACAAGATTTAACCAGAGAAAGATATAGTGATTCAAAGCAGAGAGCTCAATATAAAAGAGGAAACTGGACCTTTCATTCCATCCCTCTCTCTCTCTCTCGTTCTCTCTCTCACACTCTCTCTCTCCCCGTCTCTCTGTCTTCTGATGCTCGCACTCGATTTTCAGCCCCAGCTCAGGTCAGACTGACCTTGCCGTAAAGCGAGGGAGGGAGGGAGAGAGGGAGAAGGGAGGGAGGGAGATGAGGACACAACTGACGAAAGACAGTGTT